CTGCAGACACTGAACCGCTAAGTCAAACGGCCAACGCACCCTATGCGCAACGCCCGAGAATGTCTCTCTGCCATGGGTCCTGCCACGTATTTCACCACCCTTGACGCACGTCATGGCTATTGGCAAATCCCATTGACTGAGGACGCCAAAGCCCTAACCACGTTCATCACCCCATGGGGCCGATACAGATTCTGCCGCAACCCGCAAGGCCTGGTGTCGGCCGGTGATGAATTTAACCGTCGGACTGACTCTGCATTCGATGGCTTGCAGAACTTCTTCAAAATCGTTGACGATGGTCTCGTTCACAATGTAAGCTTCGATGACCACCTTGTCCACGTCCGTGCAGTCTTGCAGGGAGCCCGTGATCATGGTATTACTCTCAGCGCCAAGAAGTTCACCTTCGCTGCCAGCACTGTTGAATTCCGTGGCTTCACTGTGTCCTCTGACGGCTACACTGTGGACCCCGCCAAGACGTCAGCCATTCAGAACTTCAGCACACCCAGCAATCATGGGTGTGCTGACTTGCGTTCCTTTCTCGGCCTGGTCAACCAGTGCAGTGTCTTCACGCCACGACTCGCCGAGCTGGCGGCACCTCTCCGACCGCTCCCGAAGACATCCAATGAGTTTGTCTGGGACTCCGTCCACACTGCAGCATTCGATGCTACAAAGGCAGAACTTGTCTCCCCATCTGTGCTATCGTTCTTTCAGCACGGCAATGCACTCCGGCTTGAGACAGACGCTTCAGTCCTGAACGGCCTCGGGTACGCTCTTTGGCAACTCCAAGACGACAAGTGGTGCCTGCTTCAATGTGGCAGTCGCTTTCTCTCGGACGCTGAAACACGCTACGCAGTCATCGAGCTTGAGCTGCTAGCAGCTGTATGGGCCGTACACAAGTGTTCCCTGTTCTTGTCCGGTGCACCGTTTGAGCTCTGTACTGATCATCGCCCACTTATCCCGATCCTGAACTCGTATTCTCTTGACCAGATCGAGAACCCCCGATTGCAGCGTTTGACCCTGAAGCTGCGCCCGCACCAGTTCGTTGCCAAATGGCGCAAAGGCACCGACAATGCTTTTGCCGACGCTCTCTCTCGGCATCCAGTTGACACGCCTCACAGTGATGAAGAATTTGGCGAGAATCCAGCCCTCAGTGCGCCCGCTGTTCGCGCGTGCCTACGCCAAGATGATGACGGCCGTAGCGTCGATCTCCGCTTCAGCGAGCTACTAGGAGCTGCGAGAGCTGACCCTAATTATCAAGCACTCGTGCATGCCGTTCGTCATGGTTTCCCGACCAATTCGGCTAATGCCGACCCTGCTGTCAAGCCGTACTTGACAGTCCGTGAGCACCTCTCTGTGGACAGTGATCTCGTCCTTAAGGGCCAACGTGTTGTCGTTCCTCGTGCCCTACGTTCTCGTGTCCTCCAGGACCTGCATGCAGCACACCAAGGTCTCACCCGTGCTCAACGTCGTGCCCGCCAAATTGTGTTCTGGCCGAACATCTCTAACGACATCGCTAACACAGTCCGCAGTTGTGAGATGTGCCGGCTGCATGCCCCATCCCAATGCAAGGAGCCCCTCCGTGTTACCGAAGATCGTCGCCCCACTCTCCCATTCGAGTCCGTTAGTGCTGACCTCTTCTCATGTCAAGGATGGGAGTTCCTCGTCTATGCAGATCGCCACACTGGTTGGCCGTGCGTCGCCAAACTCGGCAGAACAGCCTCGTCTTTGGACGTCATCCATGCCCTCCGCCGCTGGTTCGGGGACACTGGTGTTCCTAGAGTTCTCACCACAGGCGGCGGCCCGCAGTTCTCTTCTCGCCGATTTGCCGATTTCTGTAGCCGTTGGCAAGTTGACCACAGCACGTCTTCGCCACACTTTCCGCAATCCAACGGACATGCCGAGTCGGCTGTCAAAGCTATGAAGCTCCTGATCGCCAAGACGACTGTCAATGGCAACCTCGACATCGACCTCTTCCAACGTGGCTTGCTGGAGTGGCGCAATACTCCACGCGGCCACGGCCGGAGCCCTGCCCAAACGTTGTATGGGCGGCCACTTACGTCGTTTGTCATCGCTCACCACACCAGCTTCGCCCTGAATGGCAAGCTGAGTCTGACTCTGTAGATGCTGCCGCAGCCAAGCAGTCTGCCACCGTTGCAGCCCACTACGATGACTCTGCTCATCCCCTCCCTCCGCTACACATTGGCTGTCGTGTTGATCTCCAGGATCTACGGTCCAAGCTGTGGCACACCAGCGGTGTCATTGTTGCCGTCGGTCGCAATCGTGACTACCTCGTCAAGGTACCCAGTGGTCGCACCTACTGGCGCAACCGTCGCTTCCTCCGACCCGTAACTGCTGCTGTTATCCCTCCAGCCCCAACCTGCACCCCGCCTGCTAGCAATCCTGCTGCTAACATTGCCTCTCCTGATCCGCAACCGCTCCGCCGCAGCCAACGCCCTCGCACTGCACCTAACCGCCTGGACATCGCCTCGCATTCCACTAAGTCATGTGATTAGCTGTGTTAGTGCTCTGTTCTCTGCTGCGTGTGCAGTTCCTACTCATTCTCGTACACTGTATTTGATTTCTTTCATTTAGTTGTTGAGATAAACCCGGCTAGACCACTGTTTTATCTCAGAAGGGGCGTGATGTGATATGATGCTCATGTCTTATCACGTGACTATTACGTCATATATTTTGCCTGTGTATTACGTCACAACCAGCATGCGCCATCTTGGACTAGTCGCCTGAAGTGCATGCTTGGCTTGACCTGGTGGTCTGTTCTTACCTGTCTTCTTCACACTTGTATCTAATTGTATTCTTCCAAACCTCAACCTGTGTCCTTGAGTGTTTGTGCATGACTGTGAAGGCAGACATCACAGAAGGTATAAGAACGAAAACATCAGCGCAGGCAAAATATGAGATAAATTTGCAACCAGTATGTAACCAAATCCAATTGACATAGTGTCTTCTCACAAACACCTTGGCATTGTGATTGACTCTGCACTCTCTTGGGTACCCCACATCGAATATATCTGTAAAAAATCAAGTAAATCCTTAGAAATTCTCTCCCCCCCCCACTGCTCCTACCTCCCACTGTCTTGCAAGCTTCATTGTTATTTAGCCTACCTTCGCCCAATATTTGATTATGCCGATACGTCTTGGGTTCGATTATCCTCTTCCGCTGCTGCAAAGCTTGAAATACACCACAAGAAAATCCTTAAAATTCTCCTCCGTCAACCCCACATGCTCTCATCATCCGCCCTTTATAAAATCGCTCACACAACCCCGTTATCACATGGACGCAGTGCACACCTGGCTTCTCTTGTCCATTCTATTAAGCTTGAGTTGTGCCCACCTCATCTCATGTGTTTTAATTGGTTCTCTTCTCTAAGAACTATAAACTCGCTCTTACTCCCTAAGTGTAACTCATCCACTCTTTTGCGCTCCCCTCTCTTTATTGCTTATTCTGTTTGGCTCACTCTACCCAGAGAAGTTAAGGATCTGACCTCACTCCGCCTGTTTAAGATCCGTGCCACCCCTTATTTACTACGACATAAATTATAGCTCATTCTCCACATGTCCTTTGCGTCTCTGTTTTTTCACTGTTTTTATTAGACATTATCTTTCTTTACGGAGTTGTTGTTGCTGTTCATTTTGCTACTCTTTCTTTTCCCTCCCCTTACTTTTATTTATCGCCGTGGTTGGCAATCACCCACTCTCTTCACATTGGCTGGTGTTTCCACCGAGTCTTGAGATGTTGTAATAAATATAAAAAATATAAATATACTCAATCTGAAAAATATAAATATATATATATAACTAGGGATGTCAGCGAACGCACTGCGCAGGCCTCTGTGCATGCATTGCGTCATCGATTTTTTGAATGTGATCGCGGCCGACAGAGAAAACATGGCCGCGGTCTGTTTGCACTGCTGGGAGTCCTAAAATTACTGTTCTTATGTCCCCGCGACCATTCAAATCATACGCGATACTCGAGGACCCACGAACTCACCACGTTCTCCCCGGTCGATTTCTCTGAAAGTTTGCACATCGTGAAACACCAGTATGAGAGGTGTTCAGGCCAATTTTCAAGGAATTTCCCTGGTTGGATCGTTCCAAAATTGGACTTCCATTTCTCGCTCGCGGCCATTTCTTGCGCGATGGAAGCGCCCTGCCCTGGTGAGTAACCAGCATCGCGCTTGGTAGAGAGTTGCTGCAATCAGCTCCCTGATGTCTTCGCTGCCATTGTCAGAAGCGATGGACCATGAATTTGTTTGAGAGTCTCTGGATGCTACTATTCCTCAGCCTAGTTTTCAGCCATTCCGTGCATCTTCTTCGCACGATTTATTTTGCAAAAAAATGAAAGTGTTCATGAGTTTTCTTGTCGGCCGCGCGTAGATGGGCCAGGCTGACCTGCGCAGATGGGCTGCGCAGTGCGTTCGCTGATATCCCTAATATAACCGTGCAAACATGAAAGAATTACTGATCTAAATTTGCAAACAATTTCAGTATGAACAAATTCTTCTTCTGCTTACACAGGACCGGTTTAGTGTGGGGTTAATGCAGTTAACCCTTGTTAGCGCTCATCACCGAGATGTAACATTCTCCCAATGTACAAGTTAGATAGTGTCCTAACCACAACTAAAACAGCACTGTCATTTTAGTTTCTGGGACCATGATTCTCAAAACAAAACCACACTCGAGTGAAATGAAAACAATTTAAAGAACAACAAAAAGAACAGAAAGCCTGCACATGGCATAACGAATCCAAGATGGGTGCCGTGACATCATCAGAGTCTACAGTGAAAGAAAAAGGAATGAGCTGCCGAGTCTGGGGTTTGAACCTGTGAGAGGCGATCTGTATGAAACCGTAAACTTAGGTAAAACTACAACTTGGGAAAGACAACAAAATGAGAGGACTAGTATACATACATTACAATCCTGGAATGCCACACATCCCTCGGCTTTGCAAACGTCGCGTCCTCGCGACAACTTTACTAAAAAAAAAAAAAAAACATGACGATTTATGTCGGATTAGAATAAGTGCATGTGGAGAATAGTAGGGTTGCCATTATAAATAAGGAAGACAATGCTCTCAGAATGCAATTTATCTCGGACTACATCGACTGCATGACCACTTCAAAACGGAAGTGAATTTTGTCTGTGCTAGATTGCATTTACTGTGGTGATATTAGTTGTGATGAACATCATAAGTTCAAAGGAAATGGCGTGTCATAGGTCAATAGCATGAGCTCACCTATACCTCTGAGGGAGCTGCAGGTTACCTCTGTGTCGCAATCCATACCCGTGTGCTGCTGCTGGTAGCAGTTGTGGTACAACAGGTAGCTGGAAAGCATAGTGTACTTCTGCGTGATACTGAGGCTGAGTAGGTACAGCCATGGGCGGAACAACTAAATCTGCTGGAGCCACAGCATTCGGAGTAGCAATGTAAAGCTTCAATCGGTCACAGTGTATGGTCTGGACTTTGCCCGTGGAATCGGCAATGGCAAATACAACATCATTGATCTGAGATGCAATGGTGAAGGGGCCTTTCCAGGGTAGATGAACCTTTCGCGTCAGGCCGATCTTTACTGCAGGGTTATGTAGGCTAACACGATCATCAATACTGAGACGAGGCTTATTCGTGAACTTATCATACAGAGCTTTCTGGCGTTTCTGAGCAACTGCTTCAGAAGCACAAGCATGATCAAAGGCTTGCTGTAGGTGACACTTCAATCGCTGTACATAGTCGGTGGCGGTAAAGGCCTGCTGTGTAGGACTGTTGAACATGACATCAATAGGTAGGTGTAACTCACGACCAAACATCAATCTACCGGGGGTCTTCCTTGTGGAGGAATGAACACTGGAGCGATAGGCTAGAAGACGTCGTTGTGTGTTGTGTGTGTGTGTTCATCCCAGTTGGTGTGGTGATCATTCACATGAGCTGATAATATGTTCTCAATGGTTCGACTCATGCGCTCCACCAGACCATCACTCTGTGGTCTATACGCGGTGGTGTGTGATTTCCGTACATCCAAAAGTTGACATATCTGCTTGAACAAATGCGATTCAAACTGAGGTCCTCTATCAGAGTGAAGTTGATACGGCATGCCGTATCGACAGAACACACCATCAACTAATACAGTGGCGAGTGTCTCGGTACGCGTGTCAGGAATACCAAACGCCTCAGGCTTTCGTGAAATAGTCCATAATGACAACAATGTAACGATAACAACGGGATGACTCTGGTAACGGGCCCATGATGTCAATCGCCACACGTTCAAATGGAAATGAAGGCTGATCTTGCACCAATGGTGCTTTCGGGTTAGGTGTTGGCGACTTGCGACTTTCACATACAGAGCAACTCTTGCATAAATCCGTAACAGATGCAGTCATCAATGGCCAATAGAACCACCGTGCTCGAAGCTTCTGTAGAGTACGTTCTATTCCTAGATGGCCACCGGAGACATCAGCATGGGCACTCTGCATTGCTGTTGTCTGAAGAGATGATGGAACGACTAATAGCAAAATGGGAGTTTCGCTATCCTCGGGTTGATACACCCGGTACAAAACATCATCACATAACTTTAGGCGTTTCCAATTGCTCCACAGTCTCAGTACACCTACTGATACACCTCGCATTGCAGAGTCACTACGTACAGGTCGGTCTAGAAGGGCTTCTTGCCAACCAATCAGGGTACTGACGTCTGGATCTTGAAGTTGAACAGTTCTTAATTCAGCAGCTATAAATGCTTCACACCAATTAGGATCACTAGGACTAGATGGTAAGTCACTGGGCTGTGTGCAGGAATCAGCTTCTACTGAGTACACAGGACAGGGGACATCAGCATTTACTTGCCTTTGATCATTTTCTGGAAGGCGTGACAGAGCATCAGCGTTGGCGTGTTTGGAGCCAGGCCGGTGGCGGACAGCATAGGAGAATCGCGACAGTCGCTCAATCGATCGGGCAAGCAGGCCAGCGGGCTCCTTGAAGGAACTCAACCAAAGAAGAGACTTGTGGTCAGTACGCAATGTGAATTCAGCTCCAAGCAAATAATGGCTAAATGCATCAGCAAACTCTACGACAGCTAGCAGTTCACGCTTAGTGACCGAATAGTTCTTCTGAGACCGTGATAGGGATTTGCTTGCATAAGCAATGACAACTTCATGACCATCATCATTCACTTTGGATAGTACAGCACCAATACCCGTACCTGATGCATCAGTGTCAAGAATAAATTAATGCCTTCTGTGCGTCAGGATATGCTAGTACTGGTGGTGATATCAAGTGTGACTTCAATAACAAAGGCCTGCTTGCAGTCATCTGTCCATATGAAGGGAGTATCTTTATGTGACAAGAGGTGCAAAGGACCGGCTACAGTTGAAAAGTTAGGTACAAATCTGCGGTAATAGGAGGCAAAGCCAAGGAAACTACGTAACTCTCTAGCATGGAGATGAGGGCACCGACCAATCCTTGACGACCACATACTTATTGGTATCAGGTAGAACACCATCAGCAGAGAAGGTATAACCCAGATAGGTCACCGATGAGCAGAGTAATTGGTACTTCTTGGGTTTAACCTTGAGACCTGCCATTCGGAGCCGGTTGAAGATGAGTTGTAGTCGTTCCATGTGTTCCGACAAAGATGAAGAGAACACACTAATGGCAAATTGATGGCACAAGGTCCCCTAGCACTAGGTTCATCAGGCGTTGAAATGTTCCAGGAGCGTTGCACAGTCCAAACGGCATTCGGTTCCACTCGTATAAGCCAAATGGGGTAACACATGCAGATTTGGCTTTGGCGGCTTCATCCAACTCAACTTGCCAGTAGCCCGATGCAATGTCCAACGTGGAGAAGTACAACGCACCACTCATGGCATCAATGGCATCATCAACTCTAGGCATGGGGAAAGCGTCTTTCTTGGTGATTGAGTTCAAGTTTCTGTAGTCAATACACAGTCGGATCGAGGAGTCTGGCTTGCGAACTACCACGATAGGTGCAGCCCAGGGGCTCTTCGACGGTGAAATCACATCATTATCTAGCAACTCTTGAACATGGGCTTCGACTTCAGCACGCTGTTGAATGGGCAGGCGTCAAGGGGGTTGTCGCTTAGGCTTCTCAGAATCGGTCTCGATCTGGTGCGTAATTACATCCGTCTTACCTAAATCAAACTGACCACATGATATGACGAATCCAAGATGGGTGCCGTGACATTATCAGAATCTACAGTGAAAGAAAAAGGAATGAGCTGCCGAGTCTGGGGTTTGAACCTGTGAGAGGCGATCTGGATGAAACCGTAAACTTAGGTAAAACTACAACTTGGGAAAGACAACGTTATATTTCCGTGGATTCCAGTTTTTCTCCCTTCCTTATCAAAACATAATTTAAGCGCAGTTTAGCGCGTACTGGTTTATGATTTCTTTTTCTTCTGTTTGTATTTAGCGCTTGACCGGTTATTATTTTCCTTCTCTTTATTTTGCGCTACATATTATTATTTTTATGGGTTGAGAGTTCGTATTGGACTGTGAAAAAAGAGGAAAGACAACAAGATGAGACGACCATAGTCCATTCATTGGAAACTGGCACCCTAACTTTTTCGTGTCTCCCGCACATAGTTGTAGATATCGTGAAAACAACAGTACATCCTGCATTGTGTGACCCATGCAATTACTCCTAGCCACATTTGAGGCCAGAAAAGTCCAAGGACAGGGAAATAGAAATTCGGCCAGGTTTTACAAAATTGGGACAGGTATGCCATGGCAAAATGTATGGAGAAGCAGATCCAAAACCCAGATATTTGAGATTTAAAGTGGGTTTTTGATCATCAATTCGGCCCAAATCGGACTTTCAAAAGCCAGCGGGACAGTTTCCGATGAATGGACTGTAGTATACATACATTACAATCCTGGAATGCCACACAGACTCCCACTGCTCATTTCCTCATGTTCCTTATACATAGGCATGTCCTTTTTTTCCTTTGGCACCTGCATACATGTGCAACGTATGCACTACCATACACGTCTGCAGGTCCACACTGCACTCACTGGGCAACCCGATACGCCTGCTACATGCAGCGTGCAGCACGCACTGAGTTACCATATAAGGTGGCGGTACGTTGCGGTGAAGGGAATGTTGATACTAGTCCTGTGAGCGAGAATCAAGTTGAATTTGCGGCCCAAAGCTCGGTTTTTGATGCCTTTGGACAACGAGTCCTTCAACATTCCCTTCATCGTAACGCACCGCCACAAGAGATGAAGTCCTCGGCTCATTGACCGCTTCATCAGCCATGTATCAAACATGTCACAAAGGTCCAGCAAGAAGTAAATACAAAGAAACACTTTCTACATATCGGACAGCAATGAAGAAGCGAGAATAAAACAGAATCCTTCGCTGTCAGTTTTTTTCCGATCCAAGAGAGTCCCGTTTTTTCTGGCCACCTGGGTGAGTACACGCCAAACGCGGTGATTGATCGTGGCGGTTCCAGAACAAGAGCTCGCGCTGGGAGGAATGCACTGCATGTATCGCGTGCCCGGGTCACGCATTCAGTACGCGTGCCATGCCCCGCCAAGTCACTGCGTGTCTTGTTTGGCAAAAGATCTATTGTGCGCCTGTCCTGGCTCCGGTTTGCACTTACAGCTCAGCGATCAGAAATATTTTTTTCTTTTACAGCAGTTTGGAGAGCTCAAACTGTTCAGTTGTTGTTTTCTGCTTCTTGCTCCGCAGTAGTGGTTGGCTTGTGAATTCTTTTTCCCACCATCCCACCCTTACCATTATCTATAACTAGGACCTCACTTCCGGTCCACTTTTCACAATAAACACCGGGTGCTGGTACAACTCTTAACGGCAATGGTTTAACTCGTTCAATCACTTCGTGCTCTATGTTGAGCCAACACACGCGCTCTATGTTGAGCCACCATACGCGCTCTATGTTGAGCCACTCACTCTCTCGCGCTCTATGTTGAACCACTCACTCTCTTGTGCTCTATGTTGAGCCTCTCTCTCTCTCTCTCTCTCTCTCTCTCTCTCTCTCTCTCTCTCTCTCTCTCTCTCTCTCTCTCTCTCTCTCTCTCTCTCTCTCTCTCTCTCTCTCTCTCTCTCTCTCTCTCTCTCATGCTCTATGTTGAGCCACATTGCCTCACTCGCAGCCAGCACTCGTATAAGTGTTAACTCCAAACTCCGTGCCCTGTGTGTTGGTGTACTTCATAGCGGTGTAGCATCTGCATGTGGATGTGGGATGTTGGCTAATAGGCCATTCACACGACGTGCAAACTCACTTTTATCGTACTGTCTCCAGGGATATTTACTCGGATACGATAAACTTGGACTCCCGCGTGCAACTGATTTTTTATCTTGGCCGAGGCCCTTTTGCTTGCGATTATCTTTGCACGCCGGGAAAAGTGTCGGTTGTTGAAAGTGCGTACTGCAAATGCAGTGCTTGAACAAAGGAAAATTCAAAATTTAACATTTCCCGGCAATTTCAGGGGGTCACTATGGATACATTGACGATTGCAAAGTTTGCCCAGCACCGTGTGAACTGGATCACGGTTTGCCAGTGTTATCTTGATCACACGCGTGCAAATGTGTGCACGTCGTGTGAATGGCCTATAATGGTAAATATGTAGATGGACTCCGAAACATGCAAACATCTTTGACTATGCGAACGAGACCAAAGCGGAGAACGAGAGAAGTTCAGCACAGTTCCAATCTGACGAGTCAGATACACTGACACTCTCTTTCGTTCGACGCCACAAGGATACCCTGTTTGACTGGACAAGAGCTGCCTGTACCACCGTGTCAAAAGGCTGTCCAACTACATGGCAGGACAATGACTGAGGTAAGGAAGCTTTTACTCGTTTCGATTGGTCTCGCTGTTCTGTCGTTATGCTTGAATTTTTTTTCCATTTTCAAGGAACGTATTGCGTTTGTTTGATATTGCTTGAATGAATGCCCTAAAAGTAATCAACGACTTCGTAATAGTTGCGTGACAATAGGGCTCAGTTGAAAGTGATGACGTCAAAAACGGCCAGGGTAGTAAGTTGACATCAGATTTCTATTTTGGATCCACTAAGGTGTGACTTTGCTATTGCCTCAGTATGTGGGTGCATAGCAACCCACTCATGTCGTATGCAGGGGTGACTTTTACTTCGCCACCAGTTGTAAACCCGCCCCCAGTAGCCAAATCAGTCAGTTTCACTGGCTACATCACCTTGCTGTGAGTAAGACGGCTTGAAATGTGCTTGGATCCATACAAAAACTGGATCCAAGTGGATCCAGTTTTTGAATTTTTGAAATTGTTGCTATGCTGTGACGTAGCACTTTCAAGCCCTATACTATCAGTCCTCAAGGACTGCAAGGACTTTGCATCAATCGTCTAGCTATCATAAAATTAATTTTATTTCATGAGAAATGTATTTTTGTCCTGTGATAATTATGTGAAGTCCACAACACTCTTCCTCTAGTATGATGTCAAATACAATGGGATCGACAAACGCAGTGCCAGTGTACTAGTAGTAGTAGGAGGATTGCTTGTATGCCGATGACAAGAAAAAGCTTCTCAAGATAATACTCGTATTCCATGAAGTAACCGTTTTGATGTCACAAACATGCCATTGTGTCAGTGAAATTGCCTCGTAACAACAAATCATTGCATTTCCACCTTGGGGAAGACTGTTTGACTGACGGTAACGCTGTACAGATTGTTTAAATCATCTCATATCAATTTAGTTGCAGTGAAGTGAAACACTGTGGAGTACACTACATGTATGTTGGTGTGTCTGTGCGTCTTGAGTGTGCACAAACGATCTTGTTCCTCGTATTACTACCGTAAAGTACTGTTGATCCGCCCCTCTCTAATTCCCGCCCCCTGTCGATTTTCTACCTGTGAAGCGACTTCGGTGTATACAACGAAATACGATGTTGAACCAACGCATGCACTGCTGTACACAATACGTGCCAATCCAGGATGAAAATGTGCACAATCCAGCATATCGAGTCTGATCCTGGCGACATGGCGTGGGGGGTGGGGGGGTGGATCAACGGTACTTTACGGGAATAGATTATTGTCCCCACCATCACCTGAGCATCACATTCGTTGAGAACTTGGTAGTTGTGTGCTTCCATGCATCATTACGGTAATAAGCGTATCCTTGTGCAATCTATTTGTTGCAGGTGTGCTGATCTTCAGAAGCTTGCGGAACTGAGTGCTGCTGAACATTTCCATGGCCATGAGCAATGGTGAAGCTTGCTATTCCACTCTCAGCATGTGCTAGTATTATGCTGACTACTGCACTATGTTGATCTCTTACACTAATACATGTATGTAAACGTGCGTGCACCCGTCCACGTATGCATTCGTTTCGTATAATTATTTGTTATCCCTCTTTACGTGTAAATGGGTGGACGTTTGCATGGCTGTTGGAGTTGCGTGTGTATTGTGTCTCTACTCTTTTCTTGGTGTTTTCTTGGCGTTGTATAAGTTTGTGTGTGTGTGTGTGTGTGTGTGTGTGTGTGCGCGTGCGTGTGTGTGGACGTTTCCATGGCTGTTGGAGTTGCGTGTGTATTGTGTCTCTACTCTTTTCTTGGCGTTGTACTGTCCCCTTGGAAAAACGCGATTCCGCGGTCGCGGCAAATTTCGCAGAAATTGCTATCATCCGCGGAAATCACGGAATCTACACTTTTGCCCGCGGAATTTGAATTTTTTAGGGTAAATTAGTAAAATTACTACTCAGAAAGCAGCAGAAAAACTACTTCGCGATCTGTTGGAGCACATTATGCTCTTGCCAGTGTGGGTGAGTGCAGGATCTCCAAAATTCTTCACTCTCATGTCAGTTTGTGACTGCAAAGGATAGTGTGAAAAGTGCTCCTTCCTGCAACTAGTTGTCATATCCTCTACAAGGAGGGTGAACACTTGCAGAAAGTGCCACAGATTTTTGATTTTACCACAGAAAATGCCGCAGAAAACCCCCCTTTTCCCCGCGGAATTTGCCGCGGAATTTTGAATTATTGGCCGCGTTTTCCCAAAGGGACAGGTTGTATAAGTTTGTGTGTGTGTGCGTGTATGTGTGTGTGTGTGTGTGTGTGCGCGCGCACACAATAATTTGAAAACAATAAATTAATTCTTGGCTCTCAATCATAGCCTATTCTCTTTCGATTATTGGTATTTTTCTTGGTATTTTCTTGGCGTTGCGTGGGTGTGTGCATGTGTGTATGTGTGTGTGCGTGCACAACGATTTGAGAACACTACATGATTGAGATATTGTAATTTGCAGCGTCTGCGAAGAGACCACTTGATTTGAGGATGGTGTTTGTAGGTTTTTTTCATGTAATTGTTGTGATCACAGGAGTGTGATTCCCACCTACTTATAAATGTGACGTCATGTACATTTATGTGCTGTGTACATTATGCGTCATGGGTCTCTAGCTCTGTTTTATTATTCTGTGTTTTATGCATGTTTTGTGAGCGGATCTTTCATGTGATCGCTTAAGCGGGATTCACAGAAGCTTTTTTGCGATGCTACAGCCGCGAAACCGGGAAAACCCCAAATTGCAAACATCGCGGACCCCACGCAACTGCCGCAACAGGGCCATCGCGAAAGTTGCTCAACTTTTGCGATGCGACAAGCGATTTGGCGTACGATGTTGGCCTTTTCTACAGCAAAGTTGTACACAGGTTCAAGAGTTGCCTATAAATTTGTACAAGGTGTACCAAACCGCGCGGATACCATGATGACGTACCCAAATCAGCAAGACTTTGTCGCATCGCTGACTTCTTCTGTGAATGGTATTTCGCGAGTTCGCATCGCACGCGTCCATCGCAGATCGCGTCGCATTGCAAAAAAGCTTCTGTGAATCCCGCTTTAAGGTGGGACACCACCATTCGCGGCCCATATCAGACCGCATACAATTGAAATAGGCATAATTATCATGAAAAGGGATTGGCAGATTGCCTTGAAATTTTCCATGTTCAATCACTATATACTGCTACACAATGTAGGCACCAAAGAGAGAATTTACAGTTCATCCAAGTAATGATTGACGGGCTACACAAATTCTTTACGGGTGCGCACAAACAGCAATTTTTTTGGACAACTTTGCAGCAAGATCAACACAGACAGTTCCAAAATGCAGCAAAACCCAGTCCACATGCCTATGCAGGGAATGAACTACAATGAGCTCTATCTGACAGGTATTACTACACCAAATGCAGAGACAAAACAGGACGAGCCGCAAAACGCGTAAAATAGAAGGCACTGTGGGAGCTCAAAATCCAATGTAAAAGGTCCTATGATCACCATTGTAGTTCAATCCCTGCGCAACAAGTCACTGATTCCAAAAATGTATGGGTTGATAGGTCTAAAATAAACACACTAGCCGCAATCATGTCCAAGAAGGCAGAAAAAGGCCAAAAAACACAAACATTTACATGTGTAGGTGTCTTTTTCATAGATTCTAAGACTATTGTTCCAACTAAAACCCACCAGCCTCGTATGTGACACCCTCAGCTTCCACAATCTGCTCCTCAATTCCCTTCCTGCACCTTCTCCTTTGTTTCCTGCGCTGCTTTTCTTCCTGCTTCATCTTCTTCTCAGCCTTGGCCACTCTAAACTATCCTCCAACACGAGCTGGCGTTCTGCAAAAAGGCCAGGTGCGGTTGCAGAGAGGGATATGGCCCGACTTCCACTTCTCATACTCGTCAGCTGTGACTTCACTATGCGCCTGGCGAGCTTTCCACAGGCTGAAGCCATGGCAGTACTTGGAAGCTACATGCACATCAAGGACCTTCCCGACTTGCCAGTCAATTGCCGTAAGCGCACCGTGCAGGGAGGAAAACCCGCGCTTCATTCACGGACCATCATATGTGACAGCAGTTATATGCTCAGGCCTGTCCATTGTCTTGTTCATCTGCTGCTTCGTTCATGCTGATTTGCGCAACTGACCTTGCCGCCTTGCACAATGCTCGCTGGTGCCGCTGGAATGCAGATAGCTGAACAGGTGGGGGCAAATTCATGAGGCCGCAAAAAAATTTGCAAGCCAACATGGCTAATTCCCAGAGTGCGCGATGCCAGAACACTGCGGCGATTGCACTCATAAAACCGTCCTGACTTCTCCACCACTGGCAGGCTGGTGCCTGCCTGCTGGCTGAACACTCTTCATTGCAGCATGTGATTCTGACAGTGGATGCAAGGCCAGAACGTGCAGTTTCAGCAATGGTCAGCTCACCTCCACAGTATTTACACGAGCAAGCAGAGAAAATCAAATGTCGTAAACAGTTCAAGTTCACTAAGCGATTTCCAGTGGCGTCTGAATCACAACTTTCAGCGATTGGGCCATGAAAGTCCTCAGAGAACGAGGAATCACTCGAGGGAGCAACTATCTGAGTTCGAGGTCAGCGCACATCCATCAAAGCTCTCCTCCGAATCCGACTCACTGTCGCTCATTTGAATCCATTGATTTTTTTATTATTATCACTGTATTCTTATTTTGGAACGCCATCGTACAACTTGCGCTTCGAGGCGGACTCTGGCACTGCTTCAGCTTCATAAACTCCCTCAGCAGCTTCCTGGACAGGTGTAGTGAGAATCTTCTCTTTGCAGGACGCTTGCACGACCTGCTCTTCTTGTTCCCCATCGTGCATCGCGCTCGAAACTGCAACAACAAAGAAGTCCTTTGGGAAAGAGTTTTTTACAAAGAGTTTTTTGCACTTTTTTTGCACGTAGCACGGTCACTGCTGCCATGGCAACAAAATTAGGAAGTAAAAGCGCTTCAATTACAAAACTCCCAAACTCCACGGCCGGCCATATTAAATCTTGACAGCTCGTTGCACGAGCATCGCGATGTGTACAAAATTAATGTTTTCAACTTTTTAGTGTACGAACGTCGCGATGTGTACAAATCTTTCAAATGTTTTCAAATTTCAAACGGTCATAATAATAATTATCCATATAAAAATCGCTCTGTGAGCGGTTCTGAAAAACCTTTACTGGTACTGCCCCGTCGTAAAAGTAAGAAATTAGAACTGGCCCATTGTCCCCCCAAATGCGAACTGATCCACCTAAATCGCGAATGACGGGACCCGAACGCACCAGTAGCACGAGGTCGGGAGGGCACAGGATCACGGCAATTATCATAGGGTATACCAGTATTAGTAGTAGAATTTATTATTTTGATAGGGAAGCTTACCGCTAGTACAGTACATGGCCTATGGTCCGGACCAACGTCCCCATCTGCATCCACAGGTAGGAACCTCGTGCTACTGGTGCGTTCGGGTCCCGTCATTCGCGATTTAGGTGGATCAGTTCGCATTTGGGGGGACAATGGGCCAGTTCTAATTTCTTACTTTTACGACGGGGCAGTACCAGTAAAGGTTTTTCAGAACCGCTCACAGAGCGATTTTTATATGGATAATTTCAGCTCTTTTTCCGTTCCCTCCCCACCCCAACCCCGAAGGTAAACATGATGACCACGCACGCGATGTACTGTATGTAGCCATGCGACTGCAATAACACACTGATACATACCAGCCCTCCCCGCCTCGCTACCCCGCACATAGATACACAAACATGTGTATGCACACGGCACACACACGTGGCCACGCACACACACGCACATGCACACGACACAAACAGGAAATTCTTCATGTATAATGCCATGCAAAGCAGTGGCCACCGTACTTGAGGAAGTGAGTTGTGAAACAAAAATAATTCAACTACAGCGTGTAGACAAGCTGACGGCCAAAGCACAACATAGCAAACATGACATTTGCCCAAGGATTGCAGTTTACAGACCATGCCATGGAAGCAGCGAATACAGAATGTAATATCATACAAAGTGACAAGCAAGGACGTGGCCATCATACACCAGAAACTTGCAGAAAGTCACATATCCAACAGATAGAGAAGTGAACAGCAATCTGATACAGCCCACACAGGACAAAGCGGACCTGATACTCGTCCCAGGATCGCAAGTGGCAAACCCTTTTCAATGCATAACATGCAGGTGTACGTTAGACGCATGAACATCTGACCGTGTCGCCAGCATACAATGTCATCACATGTTTACCCCACAAGTTACACACATGCACAGTAGAAGCACAATAAAAGCAATGGAAAAGTACGATGTGGTTGCTGAAGCATCTTCACACTTCAAATTCAGACTTCAATGTGGTCGTCACGGGATGATATACCTGCAAGATACAAGTGATGAAGAAAGAAAGCAGAAGGTCGTGAGGTAGGCTATGAGACACCAAAAACGGTTCACCTACATGTCTGTTCAGGGCTAGTGCACTCACACGGAGAATTGTCATAATCGAGCATTTCCCAAACTGAGAAGTGCAATGAAATCCACTTGCATGCACAGGAGCAATTTTGCAATAATTATTATGATGCGCAATTCGACACGATCTGCGATGCTGCGTGCGATGTGCCCTGCTGTCATGATAGTGACAGTCACCGCGGTATGTTTTGTCAACGTCGCCCGTGCACTCTTCTGTCAAGTCCAAAGTGCTCACATACTTGGCAATGTTTTGCAGTGATTAACTTTTATCCTAGTTATGTCACGGGTAACTTTAATGAAGTACCCGCAGGCCGTGTCGATCTGCACATCGTCCACTCTCTCATGTACTTGGCCTGCTTTGTCTGTGTATCCATTTCATGTGCGATCCACAAAATCGACTAGACAGTGGGTGCAATACGCTCTCTACCTGAAGACGTTCTTCTGGCGACATCTCGCCATGTACTTGGCCTGGCTTTGTCTGTGTATCCATTTCATGTTCGATCAACAAAATCTCAATGCACTACAGAGACTAGACAGTGGGTGCAATACGCTCTCTATCTGAAGACGTGAACCATTAAATTTTTTGGAAAAGTTATACGTACACCTGAACCTAATGAAGTACAGGAATAGAGAGAGTGACTACAATACGCTCTCGACCTGATAATAGTGATAACGTGAGTACAAGACACTCTCCACCTGATAACGTGTTAGAAGGTAACATGTCTACAGTCCCACCGTACCCTTCCGACACGACTGTAGACCATTACATTTTTTGAGAAGTTATACGTACACCTTAAACGTAATGAAGTACAGGAATAGAGAGAGTGACTACAATACGCTCTCGACCTGATAACGTGAGTACAATACACTCTCCACCTGATAACGTGTTAGTAGAAGGTAACAGGTCTACAGTCCCACCGTACCCTTCATCATTCCTCATTCACCATCGCGCGATACCCTGGCACACACTGGCAACATATCAATGGGGTGCCTTACCGTCGTCTAGAGGAGACGTCTTCGCAGCAATATTTTCCCTCCTGCGCATTCAGTCGCCGACGCGACAGCGTTCACGGGGCCGTTCCAGTTGCGGAAGACATTCGATTCATCGGGCCAATTCAGAAACAGGGCCGTGGACACACAGGGGGCAGAGGAGAGACATTGTTAGTGGACAAGAAATATGCAGTGGCAAGTGGCGAGTGCCGCATGGATGTCAAGTTGTCATGCACAATTCAGCTATTACTTACGGTCCAGTTAGTCCTGCCATTGCTCGCTCGTCCTGGTTCCTCCTCGTTCGTCTTCCTGCACGTCTGCACTTCTCCTTCCCCACCGTTGGCTTTGCGGTACGGGGGTGCCGGAAGGAATTCCCACCATGTATCCATGTACATGAAGTCCCACCATGTCTCCATGTACATGTCCACGGCCACGTCAGCAGTTTGTACAGTACCGGAAGGAGTTCCCACGATGTCTCCAAAGGCCTAGAGCGGACGTCTTTGCAGCAATTCTTTTCGCCCTGCGCATTCAGTTCGCCGACGATGTCTCCAAAGGCAAAGGCCTAGAGCCTACAAGTAGTAGAGGGGACGTCTTTGCAGCAATTCTTTTCACCCTAGTACCCTGCACATTCACCCCGCCGACACGACAGCGTTTACGGGGCCGTTCCAGGTGCAAAAGGTCCACGTCAGCAGTTCTCAACTATTTCGCGTACGGGATAGTCGCCGCGA